TTTTATTGTTAAAAAATCAATGTTATATTTTTGGTTGTTCAGTATGATTAATAAAATTATTCCTCTAAATGTTTTTTATATTTAACTTAATTTTGTATTGCTATTGTACGATATAAATACTAAAAAAACAGTAATAAACAAATTTGTTTCGAAAAACGTTAGTAAAAAAATATTTTTAAAAATTACGTAACATTGATAAGGAGGGTGGGGGGTGTAAAACGATTTTGTTACAACTTGTTACATAGGGGGAGGGGGGGTTCAAAATTTCACTAAAAACGTGTTACGTAATTTATGGACGGTCCCTAAGCAAAATGTATTCACCGTAACCCACCAATACGGTTTTGTCGCGAAAACGCATTCACCGAACGTCTCCACCAATACTTTTTCTCTATTCTGAATACTTTTTTTTTTACTGGGTATCTATTTGTTTGCAATTAAATTTTATAAAATTTGGATTATTCAGAAATTCTTCAATTAAAAATATAACAGAAAATAAAAACTATAAATAACTTTAAAAAAATTCAATTAAATTTAAAAGAAAAATTAAATCTACACGGAAAAAAAAGTTCACGAATCTCTCGTGAACTAGTATATCACTTTTGGATGGGACACAAAATTTCAAAATTTTCATTCACTTTTGATTAGAAATGGCGAACGTCAACGAAAAACTGAAACAAAGTTAATGAATTTTTGATGAACTGTTAATGAAGAGTAGTTCGTCAAAAGTAGAGGTACAAGTTCAAGAAAAAATCGTGAACTCGCGAGTGTCAGTAGTATGCGCAGTTCGTAATGCGCATCAAATATGGCTGATCAAGCATTCATCATTCAGTCGGTGTCATCGGTGTTTACATTCGGGAAAATTCTTTGATGAAAGTTATTATTTAGAATCAGTGTTTTTTATTACTTAGTGAATATTTTTGTTTGCTAATTTCCTTTGTGAAACAAATAATTCATAAAATGAATTAAAAGTTACGATAAGGGACTTTTTCTACTTTGCACGGTCCTGAGTTTTACAGCAGACAAAGCTAATCGTTTTGTTTGTCGAAGGACAGTGTATCTAGATTTAGCCGTGGCGGTTAGTTGTTAGAAATATTATGTTATAGGCAGGGTTCGGAAGTTACGCGTAACTTGAGAGTTTTTGACGTGTATATTACGTTTTCGACGTAATATACGTCAAAAAGAGTAAAATATTCAGTATATTACGTTTTCAATATGGCGCGCGCAAGATGTGTATAAATTTTTCTTCAAAATAGTTTATATTTATCTGGACGGCAGAGAAAAAAAAATTTTGTTACAATATTATATAATGCAGTAGGATAAACTCCGCAAATATCAATATTAACGTATTAATTTTTTTGTAAGGATGTTCACTCATAACATAACCTTTAAAAACATATACCTTATAATTTTCTCTACTTATTAAACTTTGCATAATTAAGCGATAAAATTATATCACGTTTTTTTAATTTAAATTTTGGTTTTTATACAATAATTATACGTAAATAGCATTAGTTTTCTGATAGTCTGTCAATTGTTTTAGAAATGTCTGTAAAAAAGGGTGACAAAAATGCGTTCAATGCAGAAAATTTGCAGTCAAAACATTCATCTTCGCAGGCAGATGATTAATAATAAACAATTTGTGGTTATTATTAACAATGTGGTTATTGAATTACAAATATTTCAGGTTATGTTATGCACGTTTTACCCGTTCTACGCATGCGCCGTAGTAATATCGACAAAACGTAATATACATCTATTTTCGTAAAAAATTCAAGACGTAATATACGTAGTAATATACGTGTAGAAAACTACGTATATTACCTTGACGTATATTACGTGCGAACCCTGGTTATATAGGGTATAGGTACTAAGTTCGAATCCCGTGAAGCGAATTACGAATTTTAATGGCGATAAAATTGTGTATTCTGTGTATTTGGGTGCGTAATAGGCGTCAAGTTATCAATTAAAGTGAAATACTATAAAAAAGTAGTGTCTGGAAATTATTTTTTCTTGTTTTTAGCATTTTTTAAAAGTTCACGAATTTTTCGTTAACTTTGACGAAAAGTTCGGAAACCGTACTATGTTTCTAGTGAAGGAGTTGATGCAATTTTGACGAACTGTGTTTGTTGATTTTCAAGAATTTTGTGTCCCATCCAAAAGTGATATACTAGTTCACGAGAGATTCGTGAACTTTTTTTTTCCGTGTACTCTCTAAATCTGAATTAGCGCGATTCCACAAATTTCCCAGCGATAAGTATATCACTGATTCAATTAGCGTATATACGCTAATTGAAAATTAGCACACAATTTTTAGTTAAAACTATGAAAAATTCGAACTTTCAAAGATTATAATTTAAAAATTTTTCAAAATTCAATTACTTCAAAAAATTCACCCTACAATACTTTCTCTCTAAATTAGCGTATATACGCTAATTGAATCAGTGATATACTTATCGAAATTAGTGGAAATTAGTGGAATTTCGCTAATTCATATTTAGAGAGTACACAATTTTCAGTTAAAACTATGAAAAATTCAAACTTTTAAATATTATAATATAAAAACTTTTCAAAATTCAATTATTTCAAAAAATTCACCCTATAATACTTTCTCTCTAAATTAGAATTAGTAAAAACGTTTACCAATTGGAATTAGTGACTCACTTTTTGTTTTTGAATTAGTAAATTTCACTATTAAATTAGTAGAAACGACTATTTATTACTAAAAAAATTAAAAACATTTTTACCAATTCAAATTTAGAGAGTTCAATATTTCATTATTATCTAAAATTTTAACTGATGTTCATATTTAAATCAATTTTTATTAGAAACTTCTACGAGAATTTAATTATTTAAATACAAAAATAATTAATTTATTGAAGAATTGAATGTTTCATAAAATTGAACTCTTATAAAGAATTGTATCAACAAATTTTTAAATAGGTACTTATAATTCTTTTGACGAATTTAAATAACATTTTTAAGTAAAATTTCATTTTTCAAGTGTTAGATTAAAATTGTATTAAAAATAATTGAATTAAAAGTTTTTGGAAATATTAGAAATTTTGCACAGAATTGTATTAAAATTTTTGAAAATAATTGAATTTTAAACAAAAAGTTTATTATTTATAAAGATAATTGAATTCTTGAGACGAATTTTTTAATAATATATTTTTTTAAATTCATAATTAAATTCTTTTGTGAAATTTTATTGAAATAGTATATATTGAAAATACTTGGATTTTGATAAATTATTTAAATTAATTAAATTTCTAAATAAAACAAAGAATTTAATTACAATTATTTTCAAAAAAATTGAATTTTTAAAAAGAATTTGATCAAAATTTTTGAAAATAATTTAATTCTTTTAAGAAATTTAATTAAACATGAATTGAAAATAATACTTAAATTCTAATAAATAAATTGTAGCAAAGGTTTTTAAAATAATTGAATTTCTTTGAAGAATTTTTATAAAATTTGTAAGAATAATTAATTACATTTTTCGAGAAATTCCATAAAAATTGTATTAAAAATAATTGAAATTCTGCGATGAGTTTATTATTATTTATAAAAATAATTGATTGCGTAGAATTTTATTCAAATTTTGTTTAAGAAAGGAATTCTTCAGGAAAATTAAATTATTGCGAAGAAAAATATTGATACCACAACTCTTAAAATTGAATTAATTTTGAAATATTTAAGAAAAATTAGATTTCAAGAATAAGCACAATAACTTTAGAAAACAATAATTTTCCAGGATTCCGATCAAAATTCCCTGATTTTTCCTGGTTTTTTCAAGACTTTTAAAATTTCCTGATATTTCTAGGTTTTCCATAGGTTGCGTGGCAACTCTGTTTAATTATAAATGAACCGTTCGCTCGAATAACGGCTTAAGTGTTTTTGAGGCATTTTGGAAAGTCTTAAAATTAACACTAATTTATAAATTCTAAGTAATTTAAAGCATTACTATTTAATTTAATAGGTTTTGCTTTAAACAATTCCAATCAAACATTATAATTTAGATGTTAATTAACAGGATGGTAAGCGTCTTTTGAAAAACGGCTTAAATCAACTTAAGCCGTTGTTCGAGCGAACGGTTCAAATATGATCATGATTTCTTCAGAATTTTAATAAGTCCGAAAAAGTTCATTTCTATTTTGCTTTATTCAAAGATAATTAAATCTTAAAAAATTATGATAAAGAAATTCTAAGAATTAAGAAGAAAGTTTTTAAAAATACTGTAATGTAATTTTTCAAAAACAATTGAATTTTTTAAAAACAGTTTTTGTATTATTATTTAAAAAACTAATTAATTTTTTGATGAATTTTAATAAAATATTTTGACATGATTTTTTTTCTCCAAAATGTTTAAAAATAATTCTAAAATGTTATTATTTTTTGTATGTATTTGAATTTTAAAAAAGATATTTTCTAAATTTCCCTGACAAAAAATTTTTTTCCTGTCATTCCCTGCTTTTACTGACAAAAATTATGTTTTATTGACATTTTCCTGACTTGTCTGACATGTTGTCACCCTGAAATATCAATATAAAATAAATTCAAACAAAGGAAGACAAACTATAAAAATTATATTAGTAAAAAATTAAATAAAATAATTTAATAATTATAACGTGAGACAAACTAGTCATTCTGATGTGAACATCAAATCAAAATAACTCACTACTATTATCTATATAAGAAGTAATTATATTCAAACAAAGTCAAAGTCAAAAAGTCATCAAGAAGACTATCTTTAAATTAAAATTGAAATTGAATTGTGTTATTACATAATACAATTTTATTCTTTGTATCAAAATGAATGGATTGGTCTATATAAAGAATAAAATTTATTATAATTAATAAAAGTAGGTAATCACAATTAAAGCAGAAAAAATACCATATTTTAAAATTAATATCCTTCTTCAAAATTATATTATTGTTCAATAAAATATTATTCCCTTTATAAAAACGAAGTACAAAATATAGTACGTATTGATACTTACTTTAAAGTCAAAGCCAGTCGCAATCTGGAAGGCAATGGACGTCTAATGCTAAATTTCTTTAATCGCAGACCCACGATGTCATGCAAATCCTCAAAATCATTTGGTGTCATGCGCACCATTTTTAAAAACTCGTCGTGATCATTTTGAAAAAAATATAAAAATAACGCTTCGTAAGCACCAAATATATCTCTCATTTCATCTTTGATGTGTGGTTTTACCCACCATCGTCGAACACCATCTCCGCAGATATTTAAATATCTTAAATATAAATGAAGAATCTTCATCCACGACAGCATGATCAAATTTAGAACTGTTATCAAAGCCATTTTCGTATTCAATAAAATTCACAACTTTACTCAATTCAAGAGGATATTATTGTCCAAAGTTGTATGGCACCAGTGTATTTTGCATTTAAGTTTGGTATTTTGCTGTAGTGTCCCACGTGACATGAATCTGAAATTTTAATTTAAATCGAATATTTTTATTACCGACCTACTATTATTTATTTATTTATTTTACATTTTTAAAATTCAAGAGTTCTTTTAGTCATCTTTATTCTGTTCTTTTTGAACTTATGTATTTATTAGTTTAGAGAATAAGCATAAAAAAGAGCAACACAAAAAAAATATTTGAAGTTAGTAATTAAGGAAGATTTCGACTATATCAGCAATTAGTGACATCTATTAGACGTCAATTGAACTCTTTGGTTTAGAGTCAGGTGTTATTCTTAAGATAATTACTCCGATATGGTTGTCGGTAAATAATTATATTTTTGAATTTAATTTTTGATCTGAAAAAATAAGCTGCGTGAACGACTGCACTGTGCATCTGTGAGGACTCGAACCCCAGTTAATAGCTGCCTTTCGCGGGACTAACGCCTACCAATGCACCATGCCAACACAGCCTGGACGTTCACGTTTCTTATAATCTCAGATCAAGCCCATACACTAGTCGAAGAGCTGTATAGTTAATGTAGGAAATTATTTGCTGATTGAGAATTTTAATTAAGGAAGATTTCGACTATATCAGCAATTAGTGACATCTATTAGACGTCAATTGAACTCTTTGGTTTAGAGTCAGGTGTTATTCTTAAGATAATTACTCCGATATGGTTGTCGGTAAATAATTATATTTTTGAATTTAATTTTTGATCTGAAAAAATAAGCTGCGTGAACGACTGCACTGTGCATCTGTGAGGACTCGAACCCCGAATTTGAAGTTAGTCTTAATTAATGACGAGGTTATCGAAATAATAAATTTGAGTAAATTCTATTTCAGGATTTTTGCTGACTTTTCTCTGACTTCCAGGCAAAATTTTGATTTTTTCCCTGGCCCTGATGAATATTCTGATTTCCCAATGGGAAATTTACAACTGGCGTAGTACTGCGCCAGCACTGGCAGCACTGGCGGCAAGGCTGAGAGCCAGCACTGGCATAACTCTGGGATGATAACGCCGTCCGGCGCTGGCGAAGTACTGTCTGTCAGTGCTGCCAGACAGCGCTGGCGCAGCACTGGACCAGTGCTGGCTGAGAACATTGCCGCAATAAATGCCGTATTGTTATTAATTAATCGTAAATTAATAATTATAAATAATTTAACAACAAAATGGTAAATAATATTAATAAATAGTTATTATTCATAAAATATTTCTCTTCTTAAAGAAATTGTATTAAAGATGGAGACTAACAATGGATATAGTAAATGAAGTAAAAAAATTGTTTATAACATTTAAAAATTAAATAATAAACAATTACAGTAAGTGTGCATTAGATTTTCATATTTTAGTACCTAACGATTGGAATCTAGAAATATCGCAAACCTATGAAAATAAACAAAATTGCTGACGAGGGGAATCGAACCTACGACCTACGGACTAACAGACTAACGCTCTAACCACTATGCTAACGACACATGTGTACAGTAAAGTATTAACATCTCAGTATCATTCAGACATACAATTATTGAGTCAAAGATGAGAAAAAAATAGGGATACGTTAGAAATAATAAATTGAAGTAAAATAAATTAAACTAAATTTTTAAAAATTAAATTAAATTACTTTACTTATTGCATTTAACATTTTACGTAATTCTTAAATTACGTGGTAATTTTTTAATAATTTTTTATTCATAGTAAGAAGTATAATAGTATTTTAATAGGAACCAAATTATTATTGAGATTAAAGTTTAAATTTTGTTTATAATTTTAATTTGTTTAAATAATTTATTATTTACAAAATTAGAGAATTGTGTTAAATTGTTATTATTAAATTTAATAAGAATAAAAAATGAACAACTGAAAAGTAAAATATTAATTTTTTTCAATAAATTTATATTTATAAACATTCATAAACTTTTTTTATAATTTTTTTCAAGTTTATGTCAAAAAAGCAATGTTGGCAAAGAGCGTTGTGAACAAATTTTCTATACTCAGCCAGCACTTGCCGCCGAGCCTTGTCCAAGCTTTGGCGAAACAAAAATTCTGTACTGCGCCAGCACTAATTGTCGAGGCTCGGCTAGACTACGCCGAACAATCGTCTGAGTACTAAGCCAGTGGTGAACATCGGCACTACACTGGCATTTCCCATTGGGTTACTCCAAAAATTACTAGATGATCAAAACAATGTTCTATTACATTTATTTACGAATTCCCTTAATTGTAAAATTATTCGAAAATAGAAATAACTTCTTTTTTAAATAAATATTTAATCATTATAATTTTTGTATAGAAATTAAGATTTTCAAATTCAAATCTTCTAAAATTCAATAACTTGAGAATATTATTATAAAACATGTTTTATAATAAATTTAAGATTACAGAGTGATAAAATCATATAATTTTATATTATAAGAATATTGTAACTATAAATTCAAATTTTCAAAGATTTTAATTTGAACCCTCTTCAAAATTCAATTATTTCTAAAAATTCACGTTATTATGCTTTTAATACTTAATAATTTTTAATTTTAAAATGTAATTCATTTTTTAATCAATTTTCAGTAGAAAATTGTTCGAGTATTCAATTATTTAAATACAAAAATGAATAATTTATTAAATAATTAAATATTTCTTAAAATTAAATTTTTATGAAGAATTTTATCAAAATTCTTAAAAATAATTGAATTCTTTCGGTGAATTTTAAAACAATTTTAAGAATGAATGCAATTTTATTTAAAATTGTATAAAAAATAATTGAAATTCTGCTATAAGTTTTGTTATTTATGAAAATAATTAATTTCTTGTGAAGAAATGTATTCAAATTTTTTCTAAATAATTGAATTTCTCAGAATTTTTCAAAACTTTTTGAAAATAATTAAATTTCATCGAGAAATTTCATTAAAATGTTAAAAATAATTGAAAACTGACAAAGAAATATTTTTTTAATTATCAAACTCCTATTTTTTTATTTTTGAAAAGAATTAAATTCTTAGGAAGAATTTGATTTGAAATAATTGAACTGTATGGAAATTTTATTAAAATTTCAATTTTATTAACGAAATATTGTAAGGAATTTTGTAAATTAAAAAATCAAAAATAATTGAATTGGTGCGAAGAAATTTATAAAAAATTGAGAAATAATTGGATTCCTGTAAAATTTTTATTAAAATTTTGTTTAAATAATTGAATTCTTTTGGAAAATTTTATTGAAATTGTAGATATTTAAAATAATTAAAATGAGGAAAATTTTAGAAAATGATTGAAATTTTGCCAAGAATTTCATTAAATTTTTTGAAAATAATTGAATTTCAAAGAATTTTATTATTTATAAAAATAATTGAATTCATACGACGAAGTTTATCACTTTTGAAAATCATTAAAATATGTACTGTAATCAGTTGATCTTAAAATTTTTATTGAAATTTTCTCGGATTTCAAATGGAAACCTTTAAAGTTCATCTATTTATGAAGATTGTATAAATGAAACTCTTTTGAAATCCAATTGATTTTAGGCAATTTAGTAGTTTATGAAACAAACAAAAAAGACACAAAAATTCCGAGATTTTGTATCAATTCTAAAAATTTAATTTTTTCCAGGACTTTAAATAAAAATCCCCGACTTTTCCCTGAATTCCCTGACCTATGGCAATTCTGTATTTATTTTTTATAATTACATAGTTTAATTAACGTTATTATAATCCTTCTTCAGGAGCTCTTTATAATCTCATTATCATCAGTATTTATTTTAATCACTACTTGATAAATAGTGTTATACATTTGTTATTTTGTTTTTATTAATACCAACTATCTTTGTTTATATGAATCTATAAGTATTTTTTAAGGTAAAAAAGAGGCTATAAATGCAGACTAATTCCAAAATACCAAAGATTCTAAAATTTTTGTAAATATTTGAATTTTCCCAAAGAATTAAAAAAACCATTTATTACAATAATTAATTTTTCCAAGGAATTGAAACTAAATTTTTAAGAATAATTACATTTTTCGAGCAACTCCTGTAAAATTGTATTAAAAATAATATAAAATCGACTTAATTGAATTCTTTCGAAGAATTATTTATGTAAATAATTGAATGCTTGAGAAGAATTTAATTAAAATCTAAAAAAAAATAATTGAATTATTTCAAAAAAATTTAATTAAAATTGTATTTAGAAATAATTGATTTCTTTCGAACAATTTTATTAAAATATATTAGAAAATATTTAAATTCTTGGGAAAATTCTAATATTTTTGTGAGGAATTAAAATTAAAATTATAAGAATAATAACATTTTTTGAACAATTCTTGAAATCCTGCAATGAATATTATTATTTATGAAAATAATTGAATAGTTGAAAAGAATTTTATTGAAAATTTAAGAAATAATTGAATTGCTGTGGAAATTTCATTATTTATGAAAATAATTAAATTCTGAATGAATTTTATCAATCTTTTTTAGATATTAAAAATAGTTGAATTTCGAATATTTTTTGAAAATAATTGAAACGTTTTAAAGAATTTGATTATAATTTTTAGCGATTATTAGCGAATTTAAAGTATAGTGAAAATTTTCAAAAAGCAGAAATAGCTTTTATTGGCTGAAATTTCTATTAATTATTTTTATTATTTTTTGTTGCCTTTCTTTTTAAATATCATATGGTGAATTTATGTTTATATTAATTTATGATAGAGTTATAAATACCTTAATGTGTAAAAGAAAAGCGTCTTGAGATTCATAAAATACGCTCAAAATTGTCTAGTAGTCTCGACTACCTTTTAACTATTTTATGCTTAACTACACACTGTAGTTGAATTTTTGAAATTAAAATATATATTTTTCATCTATTTAAAATTATATTCTCTCTTTTAAATTTTTTTTTTTTTATATATTGGCTCGCAACATTAACAATATTTGGGCAATCGACTTACCATTTCGAAGTTCTCGATGAATGATTGATCG